TGCTGGGATCTCTGCGAGCCAGAGAAAGCAATTCAGAGGGCCCTATCTGGCCTGCAAGACGCTCATTGGCCATCCTTGCGTTAAACAAAAGAAGCACCTGATAATAATGACTCAGCGTTTAAAGTAGGAGCTAGTGTCTTTTTTAAAAGTATATAGGATGGGATGGGAAACGCTATCCTTGACCATAGTTCCAAAGACTGCATCCACTTCTCATTCGACTAATTGGAAAACCCCCAAGGATGAGCGGCTAATGTGCTTCATTGTATGGAGAAGCAGAGGAGGACAGAACTTAATTCACATAGCTTTATCTATGGAAATAAGCCTTTCTTCCAGGTGTGCAATAGCTTTAACCCTTACATACTCCAGTCTACTTCATCTAGAGGTAGAGGAGATTCAATTTAATTCCTTTCCCTATCGATGGAAACGCTTATTAGTAAAGGGGCCGTCGTGAAGAGCTATTTTACTGGAGCTCCCAAATCTGCAGATCAAATTTCCGTGCTTTCGAACTCCCCGTAGAGTGAGTCCACCCTGGTGGGATAAACTCCTTGTAAAAAGATACTTGAGGGATAATACATCCTCCGCCGTCAGTGATACATTAGGGGTAAGATGTCTATCATTTCTCTTTGTGAACATTGTAGCGCAGAGAAACATTCCTACTTTCCCTCCATAGCTGCTGCCACCACCGCCATTATCATCCTCACCATAATCCGCAGCAAATATCAGAGGAAAAATAGGGGAATAGATAAGGCAGGAAGTATTAAGGTTTTCCCTGTGAAAATCACTTTTCAGCATGTCTAGAAAAATTTATCATTACTTAGTCTTCTCAAGGGAGTGCAAGTCTTGGATCATCAATTGACCTTAAGTCCTCAGCTTGCCTGAACTGTTCCAGTCCACCAGGCACTTTTTGTGGTCCTCAACTCTGCTCTCCCTGCCAAGCTGGTGACAGCTAATATTGTGGCACTCAGTGGAGAGGTTCAAAACTCACAGGACTTGTACTAATTTCCTAACCAAAGCTTGGAAAGTTCATTTTAAAAAGTTCATTCTAGCTTGACATGTCCAAAAAGGAACTAATTCCGGCTCACATTTGCCCATTTGCAAAGCAAATGAGTTCAGTTCACGTTCATCCCAATGACACATCACGGTTTCTTTTCAGCATTCAGGACATTACAAGCAGCTATGCCTGAATAAGAAAATGGACTTAAGAAGATGAAGAAATGTCTGAATGCACACACACATACACATACATGCAGAGTGAAATGTGAATTGTTTCGTTTGCTTTTCCCCTCAGCAATTAAATTCTTTAAGCTTGAAGGCTGAAAGAGTCAAAAACACTTGTAAGAGAATATATGTGAAGATGCACTAGAAATAGTTCAGTTCTTCCAGAAAAGGAATTTAATTCATGTTCAGTTCACCAGCAGCTATAGGAACTGCTTTCAGGGATTTTTGAAGGAATTCAGTGAACTTAGTTGAACCAAACTAGTTCATTCCAAGCACTGATCCTAATGGTAAGACCTAGTGGACAATGGAACAGACTGCCTTGGGAGGTGATGGAGTCTTCTTCACTGGAGAGTTTTAAGCAGAGGCTGCATTGCCAACCATCAGAGATGGTATAATTGCATCTTGCATTACAGAGTGTACATTGAGAAAGGAGTTAGACTAGATGACATCCAAGATCACTTCCAATTCTTACAAGGTGATCAAGGGCAACCAAGCCCTTATGAGGAACGGTTGAAGGATTTGGGTATGTTTAGGCTGGAAAAGAGAGTGAGAGGAGATATGATAGCCATCTTCAAATATCTTAAGGGTTGTCACATGGAAGATGGAGCGAGCTTATTTTCTCCTGCTCTGGAGGGTAGGACTCGAACCAATGGCTTCAAGTTGCATGAAAGGAGATCCCAACTAAACATCTGGAAGAACTTTCTGACAGTAAGAGCTGTTCAAATGGTCTTCCTCGGGAGGTTGTGAACTCTCCTTCCTTGGATGACCATGTGTCATGGATGCTTCAGCTGAGATTCCTGCTTTAGTTATGCTTCTACACTTCTATACACCTGAGCTATTTCAACTGATCTATTGCTCTATGAAAGTCTCCTTTGTTACTGGACTGTAATGTAACTGGGATCCCTGGGTATGATGTGTGAGGCACAGGAAGAAGACAGAAGCAGGCGCGTCATGGAGGTGTGCCATTGCTCTATAGTGGGCCTTCTGCTTCTCCTGTGGCTGTGTAGTTATGCTGTTGTTCTCGGGAGCAGGACTCCCCTGTTCTGTTGCATCAGGGATGGGGAATATATCCCTCCTAAACGCTGCATTATTTTCTACGCAACTTTCCAGGAGCTAAATTCCCATGGCCAGAAGCAACATTGGGTAGAGCACCTAATGTTAACCTTGCCTTTGTTTAGGAGGCTTGTTTCTATAGACACTCAAACATCCCTGCCCCAGGAAAGCCAGATTTCAAGGACACATTCCAGCCAGGCCAAAACACTCAAAGAAGGTGCAAAGCAACAGGGTGGGATGGCCTGGGAAGAGTCCCAAGAGCTAGACAGAAAGCCTTGGAGGGCCATACTCAGCCACTGGACCTGATGCTCTCCCACTTCTTTTGTTATAACCTCTGATTTGCACCAGGGACGCGGGTGGCGCTGTGGGTTAAACCACAGAACCTAGGACTTGCCGATCAGAAGGTTGGCAGTTCGAATCCTCGCGACGGGGTGAGCTCCCGTTGCTTGGTCCCTGCTCCTGCTAACCTAGCAGTTCGAAAGCATGTCAAAGTGCAAGTAGATAAATAGGTACCACTCCGGCGGGAAGGTAAACGGCGTTTCCGTGTGCTGTTCTGGTTCGCCAGAAGCTGCTTAGTCATGCTGGCCACATGACCCGGAAACTGTACTCCGGCTCCCTCGGCCAATAAAGCAAGATGAGCGCCGCAACCCCAGAGTCGGCCACGACTGGACCTAATGGTCAGGGGTCCCTTTACCTTTTACTGATTTGCACCAAAAATGTCGTTCTCCCCTTTCTATCTAGAATCACTGTTGTCATCAGAGAATTCAGGGTACTGCCACTGAGAACACTCTCTTCCACCAGAGCATCCAGTTAAGGCAAAATATTTGCTGAAGAGAACATAACACTAAGCATATGCATCAAACTGGAAACTTACCTAACTGTGAAAAGCTATTCTAATGAGTTGAAGAAGTAGCATTGCACAGCAGAGAGGAACGAATACCCTTTCTTAAGTCTTTCACGAAATTCAGGTGGGCTTCAATATTTCCACAAAGCTGAGCAAGGTTCTGAACTCTGCGTGGGTATTTTTCGGTTCTAAATTCTGCAGCATGGGTGTTTTTGTTTGTTTTTTACTCTTAAGTTCTTTGGCTTCCTTATTTAAGAAATAACCTATGACCAAACCTCTGTGGGTCTTCAGTGGATAAAACCTTCCACAGTTTAAACTACAAATTGAGAATAATTTGACCTGACAGATTCAACTGACCATGCAGCTTCCTGGCACCTTCTATTGCCTCCTTATTAAGCAAAATCTATGTTTATAAGCAGCAGTCATTACTATTCGCTAATATTAAACTGAAAGCAGTAACTCGGCAGAAGCATAGGCCCTGAAAAACTTTTTAGTTCCAAGCCAAATGTTGGCTCTGTTACTTATTTCTAGGGTTGGGGGTGGGAAAATCAATTTTGTTTGCATTTTAACGAGGAACTATGTAATTTGCATTCACGAACTAAGGCTCAAACACAAACACAGCTATCCTTGGACATCAGTGCTTCTCCAAATTTTTCAGTGCAGTTCTCCAATCAAACAGTGTATAGAAAAATGTATACATTCCTGAAAAGAACATAAAAATGCATCACTTCAGGGGAAATTCCTTGCAAAAATTGTGAATAATCAAAATTGAATACAAAAATGTACAGTGGTACCTCTGGTTACTTACTTAATTCGTTCTGGAGGTCTGTTCTTAACCTGAAGCACCACTTTAGCTAATGGGGCCTCCCGCTGCTGCCACACCGCCGGAGCACCATTTCTGTTCTCTCTCTTTTCTTTTCTTTTTAAACATAATTTTTATTAACAGGCCAGTCCAATCACATTATTTCCAAATCATATTACTTCCAAATTATACAGCCAGATTTTTAAATTTTGTTGGGGGTACCCTTACATCAAGCTCTGCTGCTGCGCCGCTGCCGCACGATTTCTGTTCTCATCCTGATGCAAAGTTCTTAACCTGAGGTACTATTTCTGAGTTAGCGGAGTCTGTAACCTGAAGCGTATGTAACCTGAAGCATATGTAACCTGAGGTACCACTGTATTTGTTAGGAGAAATTTGCAGGAAAATGCTAATACAATCTTCATGGGAATTCTTTTTTAAATTGCTACAGAAATGTGGGGAAACTGAATTTAAGATTGGAAAAATGCGAAACGGAAGGAAGCAAAAAAAAAACACCGAGATTCCATCTCCACTTATTTCCTATGAAGGACCCAAGTATGAGGGCTGTTTAATGCACCACCCAGCAAGAAAACTGGGTTTGTTGCTGGATATACACTCACCACAGAACTACATTTACTTTTTTATGCACAATAAAACGTGTATAACACACGGCTGCTGGGGTTTTTTTGGGAACAGCTGTTTGCCACATTTGCATTTTGTATTCTCAGAGGCACATAGTAAACAAAGTTGGGTGTATGTTAAAAAGTGTAATAAATGGAGAATTCTTCTGGGTAAGCCCTTCCCCCAGCAAAGTGGGGTTCACACCTTGAAGCCTGCTTGAGTGTGTTGCCCTTGCTAGAAGCAAGGATGATGCAGGAGTGTGGGGAAAAACATTTTTCCTGCTGTCTCATAGTGCTAACATGAATAGCAAGATATATCCCTTCCAATATTGACTGAATTGTGTTGGCAAATAGGGGATAACAGACTATGCACAACACTCCTTCTTAGCTAGAATTGAAAGAATGTGATGTTTAGCATTTTTACGCAGCGGTAAAGCACCTGCTTTCTGTGCAGATCTCAGCTTCAGTCTACGGCCATACTACCCTGAACATGCCCACTCATGTCTGATCTTGGAAGCTAAGCAGGATCAGGTCTGGTTTGTACTTGGATGGGAGACTGCCTGAGAATACTGGGTGCTGTGGATCTCAGCTTCAATCCCTGGTAGAGATCCCTGGTAGGGCTGGGAGAGATCCCTGTCCGAAATGCTGGAGAGCCACTGCCTGTCGGCATAGCCATCTCTGAGCAAGATGGACCAACTTCAGACTGCTCAACCAACTGCCCTCAATGGGCCTTGCCTTCCTCTCCACAATCTGACTCCAGCTCTATGTTCTGTTGTGTTGTGTTGTGTTGTGTTGTGTTGTGTTGTGTTGTGTTGTGTGTGTAAGGAGGAACATTTAGTCCTATGAACTCCTCCTGAAATCAGAATTGGTAGAGCACGGGTTTGCTACCTCTGTGAGAACTAAGCTTCTGTGGATGGAGAACAGAATGATCTCCCCCTCCCAGAATACAGAAACTGGCCATCTGTGGCTGAGCTCATGCGTTATTTTTAGTAGGACTGGCAGAGTTTCAGTACAGTTTATGTAACTTTTATCCAAGTGCAGTTTATACAAGACTCAGGAACTAAATAATTACATGTTCTGATGGTTCCCTCCCCCCCTTCTTTATGGAGGCTGTAATGGGCCAAAAAGGCTTAGTTTCATCCTTTGCCTTTGTTGCATTACTCTGTTGAGTAGTATCTAATCCCTTCATTAATTATCTCCTTATCTTGTTTCTACAGGAAGGCTTGTAGTTATTTTACTTTTAAATGTGTTATTTAAATATTTGGGTTGTCGGGCGGGGTGGGGGTGCGGGGAGAGGAGATAAACTAATGAATAATATGGAGAATGCTGTTCCTTCCTTCTTAGAGACAGGTCCGTAATGTCTGCGTTGGACTGGTAACATCCCATTGATATCAGGGAACTCAAAATGGGCAATGAGAATGAGGTAGGTGAGGGAGAAGAGAGGTATGGGTGTTCTCATGGTCCTCTGATCTTATTAGCAGCATTGCTCCACAACAAGGGTTTGGTAGAATTTAAACCATGTTCTGCATTGGGTGGGCTTTAATCTTATTTCTTTACACATCCTGATTTTAGAGCATACTTTCAGGGCTTTTGATTTTCCAAAATAGATGGGGATGATCTATTTTTCTTCTATCTGTCCATATGTCTGTCTATCTGTCACTGGTGTGTATATATAGGGAATGTCTATGTAACAGCTTCTTGAATGCTCAAGTGAGCCAAACTGATCTTAGTACATTTTAGTTGACATTTTGAAACAGTTGATTTTGGACAAACTTTGTCCCAAATATACTGTCTGTGGGTCTTTTTCCCACAAGCTGCAGTTTTCTGGTGTTGTTGTAGGAGAGTGTGGCCCTATTCAAGCAGGCTGGGAACTGGATACAAACTTTGCTGTCTATTAACCGAACTCATTTCTTGTGTGGTTTGAGCTTTGTTTTATCAGTCCTCATGAAACCCAACATTGAGTCCAGACCAGACTCCTGTTAAAAAATGGCATGTTATTGTATTAATTAATCAACTCGCTGATAACAAACTAGAACTAACAACTCATTCTATAATATGCCCCCATTCTGTTTTATAAAACAGTTTCCCCTGCCCACTCATTGTGGTGTGATTGGCATAAAGGTCTAAGCAGAGCTGTCTTGTGGAGGTTGGAGAAAGTCTGTGGTAGGGGAGCCAGATAACAAGAGTGTTCTTGTGGCTACAAAGGCTCACCCATTCCGTGTTAAGTATAATTGATTTAATTAACACTGAAATGAAAATGTATGTGTATTAATTAAGGTTTAAAATGGAAAATGGCTAAATGTGTGTTGCTAACATTGTGTCTTGCTGATTTGATGATTAACTAATTGTTGCTTTCTGCAAGCTAACATGTGAGTGTTGTAACCTTAGATCAGGTGACAAAAGTATTGAGTTGCAAAATCGCCATCTTGAAAGGGTGTGGCTATTAATCTTTCTCAGAGCAGAGAATAAAGCATCTAAATGGCTGCATAGCCTTTGGCAGGCAAAATCAGGCGGGATTAGGAGAGAGAGGTATAGTTTGGATTTTTGGACTTATCTTTTATTTCTAAGATAATTAAGATAATTAGCAGGTTCTGGACCAAAGCATTGTATGGATATTTTAGATGTATCATTTGATGTTTCAGTTTTGTTTTGAAGAGTTCTGCAAGTAAAAGTTTGAATAATATGTTTTTTTTATATTATTATTATTATTATTATTATTATTTATTATTTATACCCCACCCATCTGGCTGGGTTTCCTGGTCTGGACAATGTTTTCTTCCAAAAGGAGTCAATTTCTATGCTTGCAGCCACGTCAAACTGCACAGTATTAATATCTGTAACATTCCACCCCTGGCATACCCCAAGAATGCTCCCTTTTTACTCTTAATGAACTTGGCATACCAAGGGTGGTTCAGCAATGGTGGTGAGTTTTAGCCACTATGGTAGGAAGGCCTTTGACTGTGGCCCTCCCCTTTCCACCCATGGATAGGAGGTCCACACTATCCTACAGCTTCCCAGCCACTCTTCTTGGAAATTTAGGGTTGCTCCAGAAATGCCCTTTCCCATTAATTAATTTAGCTTGAAGGAGAGAAAGAGATAGAGAATGTCAGTATTTAAAATGTTCAGTCCATATTTTTTTGTTCAAATAAATAAATAAATAAACCCCAATACCAAGCAATTGTGCATGTTCCTTAGGATCTCCATTGCTGAACATCTCATGGGTGTCATTGGATGCAAATTTTATTATGCTAAATATTCATGTATGAATAGTCTGGAATACATTCCCTTGCAAATTGACAGAGGGCAAGTGAGAACTGTCCTTGAGCCTCTCCTCTGCCTCCTCACTTTTGAAAAACTGTCTAGCACATGCATGCTTCTGCTGTTGGCAACGATATATTTGGCTAATGGAGGAGGCTCTGTGCAATGGCCAGAAAACTTCCTTCACATCCCAGTTACTTACATCTAAGCATCTGCATGCATGCACGTACTTAAAATACAAATAGAAATGCACCAATCAAATTTATTGCCATGTCTTGGGAGCATCTCTTAAGAGCCTCTGCTGAATTTAGAGATGAAACTTGACATTCAGAAGTGACGATTGCATTCAAAGCATTTCACCTATGCTGGTTTTTTGAAAAATTGCAGGTCTTACCTTTCAAATTGCCACACTCTGTATGCATAACAGCTTGACTCAACAGCATCCCAAATGCGAGTCCTAGGGAACATAAATTCCAGGGTTCCCAAAGTCCACAGTTTGGACTCTGGTGCCTTGGAATACTACGTTTCCCAGGCTCCCAAAAACATCAGGATGGAAAGGAAGCATACTGGGTCTAGTTTTAACTCAAGACATAGAAAAGGAGGATTGCATGCAGTTTATAACATATCCAATCATTATGAGCTGGACAAATTCATATTCTGAAACAGGTAAGTCTGGACTCTGGTGATCCAAATAGTGATACTGAGCCTTGGATTTAGACTACAGAGAATTCGGTAACCTTTGCTCAACCAGGAAGCTTACTGGGTGACTTTGAGCTAGTCACAATCTCTTAGCATAATTAGCCTCACGGAGTTGCGAGGATAATACATAGGTCTGTCACCCAATTAAAGAAATGAATAAAGCTGCAATCCTGGGAGCATATCTTGTCCCCCCCCCCTCTTTCTCTCTTGGCAGCGGCATTTCTTGGCAAAGGAATGGGCAAAAGTGGAGAGGAGGGAGTGCCCTACTTAGGCTGGGCACCTATCATCTTGCCCTGGGGTCAGCAAACATTTTCAGCAGGGGGCCAGTCCCCTGTCCCTCAGACTTTGTGAGGGGCCGGACTATACGTTGCCATGATTACGACCTGCATTTTTGGCAAAAAACCTTATTGGGACTAACCCCAACATTGCCCAAATGTGATTCTTTTTGGGAGGGGGGGTTCCCTCATACACCCACACTGCTTCCTTTGCGTTTTACGCGTTGACAGTTATTATTTCTCTCGTAAGGCGGGCTGAGGTAAGTGCACCATTCCTGGCAGCCCTGGAGAGTGTGTGCGCATGCGTGGGTGAAGGGAAAAGCCGCTGGCTACGCTAAGTCAGGCTGGCATCGCTCAAGCAAAAACGTTCTTTTTCCCGAGTGAGGAAAGATGAGGCGGCAGCTATTTACCTTTCCATGGCTCGCACCATGGAGGAGGAGCGCCAGTGTGGTGTAGTGGTTAAGAGCGGTAGTCTCGTAATCTGGGGAACTGGGTTCGCGTCTCCGCTCCTCCACATGCAGCTGCTGGGTGACCTTGGGCCAGTCACACTTCTCTGAAGTCTCTCAGCCCCACTCACCTCACAGAGTGTTTGCTGTGGGGGAGGAAGGGAAAGGAGAATGTTAGCCGCTTTGAGATTCTTTCGGGTAGTGATAAAGCGGGATACCAAATCCAAACACTACTTCTTCTTCTTCTTCTTCTTCTTCCTCTGGCGGGGAGCACCGGCGCCACAGACACTGACGGGCATCACTCCCAAGGCGCCTCCGACCCCCTGCCTCCGCAACTGCCCTTCCTGAGGTCAGTCACCAGCAGCTCCATGGTGGAAATCTGAACCGTGACTCCTTTTCCCTCTTCCCCACACCCCACCCTGGAAGAAAAGATTGCTGCACCTGCACGATGGACGGAGAAGGGGCTTGTCTCGAGCAGCCGCTTGCCTCACTTTTGACCCCCAAGTCTGGCTGAGTCGCAAAAACCACCGCGTGCGCACTACGCCCGCTGCCTGGATTCCTGGACTGTCCGCGGGCCGGATCTAGAAGGCAATTGTGCCTGACCCAGCCCACGGGCCTTAGTTTGCCAACCCATGATCTTGCCCATCCCCTAAAAAGTAAAAACAGAGAGAGAACTGGCACTATTTGTGAGTGGAAGTACACTTCAAAATCCCTATTCGGGCACAGAAGAATAGAAGCGGGAGCATGGAACCTGAGACTCCTAAGCATTAATCAGAAGACTCTGGATTCACCCAGCCTACAAAAAATAAGTATTAGGAGTAGGGTAGTCATGTTTACGGAGGACAGCCACTGCACAGTCCTTTATTAGAAACCTCCCCTGGGAGGTTCACCTGGCGCCTTCATTATA